CGTCATCTCACACACTTTGGACATGCTATCTGGGGACACCAGTCCCTGGAAAAAAGATTCATGCTTGGTAAAGTAGAAGTTCAATATAAAGAGCAAGACCCTCAACAAGGTAGCAGATTGACACAGTTGTTGCAACAATGAGCTCAAAATCAAGTCAAGAGCAGGTATGTCTGAGAGAAGACAAGTGCATATTTTTTGGTAAAAAAGGGGGGAGGACCAACTTCCAAATGGTGGGGGGATAACTAATAATGCTTTTAAGGGCCCTAAGTGGGGAGTATGCTAGTTAATATGCACCTTAATTAAGCCACATTGGCCTAAGTTTCTGTACACCTTCTGGGGACCCATACCAAGTGCCATAGAATACTGGGGCATTGAATCCTGGATCTTCAAGGTCCACAACACCCTCCAAAAGCCATACCTGAGGGATCTATGTGGAAACTCCATTAGGTGAACTACATTCTACCTTAAACACACCTGTAACCTGAGGACTTAAGGCTGAAACTACATGGTGTGTGAAGAAGCAGACGGGCAGCTATACCAAGAGTATTGAACTTTCAGTAGACAGAGCAACATTGACTTAGTACATCAATGCCTACTTACTATATTAAGATATGTATTATTCTGGTAGACCTGTGATTGACATTGTCAGTGAATATTATTGTAAATTTTGCCTGACAACCAACTCCCATTGTTGTGTAAATAACATCCAGCCATGTTAAGAATTTATTCCATATAAGTGAATAATTCAGGTATTGCCATATGTAGTTAGCCTACACTTGTTCAATCTTCTTCTCTCAACGGTGTTTTAACAATTAGTATCATGGGTTAATTTATGACACCATTAACAAAAGATCACCAGGGAGATGATCGATAAGATTCTCTACCATAAATTTATAAGGAACTCTCTAAAGGGAGCCAGAGGCAGATAAACATAGATCCAGGGATGGATTTTGAACTTGCACTTAATCCTAGCTCCAGACTAAGAACAATTAGCTCTTATGACATGGCTCAATACTTGCCCTCATGAAGGAAACACAGAAGATAAGGGTGGTATAGCAAAGTGTGGTGAAGAAATTAGATGGTGCCTGGTTATCAGATGGAATAGCATCTGGGGTCTTAAAAGCTTGTTTCCAACCAAGCAGCCATTCAAATGAGATGTCAACAAAGTCCACATGGAAGAAGCACATCAGTGCCCATGACCCAAGGATTGTAAATTATATAATCCAAAGCAGCAGGAGGGAAAAATATTAGAGCTTAAGTTGTGAAATTCTGGCTTGTAAAAGGCTAGGGGTGACAGTGGAAGCCCCAAATGCATGTGTGAGATCTACAGGAATAAGCCTGTACTGATTCCCCTCTAACCATAATTGACAGATAGAAATAAACCAGCTACCAAACAGCGGGCATTGGAGAGATGACTCTAGGAGATCAAAATGCTAAACCTGACTTGAAGGGTTAAAACTCTGTCACTTGGTCTCCCCTCTGATACACTTTGGGCTCTATCTAGTTTTCAATATTGTCTGCAGTTTTTTTCTTTTCATATTAGGGTTTAT